GGCATTATTTACAACCGCACATAATTTACCTATGCTATTTGGCAAAGCAACTTCGGAAAAGAAAGTGAATGAATAAATACTTCATAACTGCTGGTAGAACAGACTGGATCCTGTAATGAAGAAAAGATTTATGTCACGTTCTTCCAGCCCAAATAGCAGCAGCCTCTGTTTGTCTCAGCCCAGTGCTTCTATTTAAATGTTACTTTCATATATTATGTGGCATTAATTTAACTATAGCTCATTAAGGCAGAATGAAATGGTTAAATTAACTTATCAACCCATAATGATGATGAATGAGGTATTAATTCAGATACAAGCTGGGCAATTTGCAAGTTTACGCATTCTGATGGTTCTCAAATAACATTTTGAATAGCGGGTCAGCGCCTCAATCAATTACATAAGCATGTAAAGTCGGTCTCTCGGAAAAAAATCCTTTTTCATGCATATGCATTAAAACATGTTCGCAATTATCCTCGGAAATTGCCTTCATTGGATTAAGCAGCAGTCTTGGACGCTGGTTCTGGTCTTCCCTGTGCTTTTATTAAAGCTGGGAGCAGCGCTGGCTGTAGCAGCCGAGGCGGGGTGTTTGTTTAAACAGTGTTTACCAAAGAAAGGTGAAAGCGTTGCACTGCGGTGCGGGGGGTATGCATGCGTGAGTGTGCGTGTATATGTGCGTGTTTTAACAACAAGAGGCAAAACTCATCTGGAAACGCTTCCCTGAATTCTCCAGCAAATTCCGTCTCTCTCCAAGAGAGCCAGCAAGTCGCTTCGAGAGAGCACTTAATGTTTCCGAGGATGCAATTAATTACTGTCCTCAAAGAGAGACTTCTGATAAGTGTTCTTTACTTGGACTTCGCTTAGGGCTTTTGACTCATTATCCATGAGTGGTCTTTGTAGGAGGAATATTAGATGTGCGGGGCTGACACTCGATTTCTACATGCTGCGTTGTACAACAGACGCAGTGGCAGGGGGAAGTACTAATTACCTTAAGACTGGCTAATAACGCAGTTTTCCAACATTACCTCTAATGGGTTGAAGTTAGTAATCAGCAAGAGAAGGGGCACACATGGATTTCGACAGGTCCACGCTAATGGGAGCGCATAGATCAGTGTGAGGATGATGATGACCGAGCCAGTGTTTCAGGAGGACCTGAAATATCATCTCCCCGCCCTGACGGAGCCATTGGGCTGGGGAGTAGCCGCCTTCCCCAGGCATACAGGGAATTTTAGACTTGTCGGATCCGTTTCAAAACGTTACGGCCCTCTCCGCCGCCTGCCTCTCTGCCAGCAAGGCCACGGCGGAGCAACATTGTGAATCCAGGGTTCACCCTTAAAAATGCCCCGCCCGAGGCTGGCCCGGTGCCGCCATGCCCTGACAGTGGGCTGAGGTCCTTCTGGGGAGCGAGTGCCAGTCGGGATGGGGGTCCTGAGAGGCGGGGACACGGGACGGACACGGCTTCTGCCCCCCTGCCTTGGATAGGGAGCTCAAAAGTGTTTAGAAAGGGGTCTTCTCGCTCGGTCAGCTGGTGAAGCCTTTTCGTCTTAATTAATCCCCATCAAATGTCAAAAGCAGATATGACCCTCCTTTTCCATGAAAAGAAAGTAAATGTATTTTTAATGATTTGGGTTGATTTCCTTACGAGACAAGGCAGGAAACTGCAGCTCTCCTTTATGTGCTGCCTCGCCCCCTTTCCAGACAGGATTGCTTCCTTCCCAGCTCTCTTTCTCCTTTGGCACCGGCTCCACTGCTGCCGGTGACCAAACCAAGTGCTGCGGCTCGGAAGAGGAAACGCTAAAGCCTTCGCACGTCCCCGGCCCCATTAACCCTGGAACACGACCATTAGGGAGGGAACAGGCTCCGCAGTTCTGCCCCTGTCCCGCCGACCGGAGAGGGGAGGCCGGAGAGAGAGGCGGAGGGAGCGGGCAGGGAGCGAGGAGCGCTGCAGGCTGTACTGCGGCTCCAGCCGGCTCCCCACACTCAGGGAACGGGGGGAACGTGGCGAGGAGAAACTTTGCAAAGCCTCCATCTGAGAGGAGAGATGGATGAGACGGACCCCGGCAGCCCCGGCGGGAGCAGCGGCTCGGCCTTGGGGCCTCGACGCGCCCCGCACCTGCTGGGGACCCCCGAGAGAGCACAACCCGAACAGAGCAGAGGGTTGGCCCCAGCAGAGCGCTCCGAGAAGGGACAGGCGGCGGAGAGGGAGGATGCGGAACGCCCCAGGGAGGCGGCGGCCGAGAGCAGTGGCCTGCGCCCGCTCCAGGTAGCACAGAGCGGCCCTGCGCGGCTATTCGAACTCGCCGCGCGCTTGTCGAAGGCAACGCCCTTCCCGGGTGGAAGCACGGAGGACCGGCAGCTTGGGACGCTCTGGGGCCGTTGATTGTGTGTGGCGTGGCTCTGCTACGACTGGCTAGGTGCGGGTGTCCACCCCGCCTCGCTCCGAGGAGACCCCTGGCGCTGCGACTCTCCGGCACAACACTCAATTACAAGGGCTGTGATTACAACCATATATCTCTACCGCGCTCCGCGTGCTCGGGTGTCAAGGATAGTGTTTTAGAGAGGGTGTGAGGGGCAGCAATTCATACGGGGGAGCTGACAGTTCTTTGATGTGAAAATGATGCCCTGGTTTTTACTCCAGGGTGCACAACCGAAGAAAGATTACACTGTTTAAAAAGAGAAATTTAAACCCAGGTGATAATAGTAACGAGCCAAGGAAATGCAGTAGGGAAGTCAGTTTTACAAGTAGAAAAGCAATCTCTGAAGGCCTTGTGCGGCCCATTGGGTCCGAGCGAGTGGAGCTGAATTCCTGATAAATCATTAATCATGGATGATCTTTTCAGCTAAAGACCATCATCCCTGCTTAGGTTCTCATGATCGCCAGACTCCGGTCCCGGGGGCTTGTGATGCCATTTGAAGCGAGGCCTCGTGTGCCCACAGCGGCAAGAGAGGCCCAGGTCTCCCACTCATTTCTACTTTCACCGAGAAGGACGCTCATGACAGAGGAGAAAACAACCCAATCTCATCATTGCTGTTTTCTTTATAAAATGGTGTGAGGGACAGATTCTGTTTTGAAGTACTTTTTAAAAATTTTAATTATCTATCTATCTATGTATCTATGTATCTATACCTATCTATCTATCTATTTATCTAATCTCCGTGCTGTCCCTGCACGTCTCTGCCCTCCCACTGGTGACTGTGAGCCCGGAGTGCCAGGCGTCGCAGCTGCCTCCCTCCCGTGTCCCGTGGGAGACAGGCTCCTGCCCGACCCCTCCGCGAGCAGCCTGCCCGCCCTTCCCACACCCCGCGCCGGGACGGACAAGACGGTGCGTTTCTTCCAAACTCACCAGCTGGTTCAAAGCCTTTCTTTTCTAACCAGTGGCCAGCTATTATCAGCACATTATTAAAACTCGATTCAGAGCACCTTAATGAGTCTTCCACTTATTAGCGACGGGAGAGAATTTCAGAGGAGTGATCAGTTAAGTCCTGTCTATATTTTCCAGACTACACAAATCAGGCTTTTACATTCAGCTTTTCGCGGCATCATCCTCCAGCGTGAGGTGGTCATCATGACCAGAGCAGTTTTGTGCGAGAAAACAAGCAAACAGATTCTAAGCGTAAAATCGTTTCGGAATATTTGCTGTAGAGCAAAGACATCTCCAGGGTGCTTGGTGGTGTGTTTCTGAGTGGGGTAAAGCTCCCCCACTGAACACATTAGCCAGTAGATAGGACTTCTTCTCCACATAATTTTTACAGCCTAGTGAACTTGTCAGAAAAACGAAGCTTTCCTTTCCCAAACTTCCATTTCTTTGCTAGTCCAGACTTAAAATTACCGTTTTCAGACAGTATCGAGAAACCTCCACGCAGAAGTTATCAAGGCAGAGGACAAAATGCACCCGCAAGGCAACTAAGAAAGGCTCTGAAAAACTTCAGAGTAGGGAAACACAAACAAATACATTCTCCAGTACAGATTTATTACGACTTTCGTCTGTTTTGCTGAGCGCGAGTCAACCAGAAGGGGAAATATCGGTTTGCTTTGACAAGTGAGCGAGTCTTAAAAAATACTGATCGGATCTAAGTTTCAGGAGTAATTGAAAAAGCACTCAGAAACCCGATCCCGAGCCTTTTGGGTACCGCTTTGTGACCACAGCTTCGCCCCTCTCGGGAGTCGCCTACTTTCAAAGAGCCGAGACACCACCCGAGGGTACCCGAGGGGCCCGGACAGGGTGGGAGCTGGCACTGGCCCCGGCCCCGCCGCGGCCCCCGGGGGCACCCAGCCTGCTTCTTCAAACCCTGGTCTCTCCTAAGCTCCCATTATCAACACGCCCTCTGGTCAACAGCCAGTGACTTTGCTGTCCTGAGTCTTTTGAAATCCGTTTTCCCGGGTCAGATCTGTTTAGGACCCAACGCGGTCCTTCCCTCATCATACATAATTTAAAACACCAGGAAGAGGTTATTTGTTGTCGAACTAAATAGAACACATCACCTCTAGTTAAATTTGTAAATTACATTATGCTGCTGCTCTAGCTTTGTTTTCATAATTTTAAAAAATCTGAGCAAATCAATTATATTAGCCATATGGCTTGATCATATCAGCTAATTTTCATTTTTGAACAGCAATTGTTGTTTAAACACTGACAACTTGTTAGTTAAGGTGCTTAGGAAAGATGTCTCCAGTCTTGACTTATTTAAAAGATGATTGAAATGACTATGACTACTTCAAGTAAAGTCATTAAACCATTCTCCCAGTATTTTTCACTTTCTGTGTATTTAAAGAGTTCAAAACAGCAGTAGCTGAGCTGCAGCCTGATTTATACTTCTGGAATGCAGGCCATGAGACCATCAGGCTTTCAATTCAATCTATTCCAGTTTGTAATGATTCGCTTAAAAGGAGCCAGTTTTTTTGTATGCAGCAGGTAAGTAGTAATTTTTCTTAGTTATTTTAAAGGTGTGTAGTATTAAGAATGTACAAGTGGTTCCACTCTGGCATTTGCACACTGCAAATAAAAAACTTCACCCCTCAATGATCTTAATATTTCGTCCATTAAATGTACTTACTCATTTAAATGGGAGTGTGTTTAACTGCTAGACAGATGGTCTACAGCACACACAATTATAAAGCAAAGGTCTGTGTATGTTGCCATATTTTAGACTCCAGATTTCCTGCTTCCCTATACATTTTTGCAAGCAGTTTATTTTTCCATACAAAATACTAACACAGGTGGAGAAGCAGTCTGGAATTCATTTCTGCTATCAGAGACTCAGAGCATAACCCTTCAGGCAATCTTAATTTTCTGACAGGGATTTTAACTACTTCGGTACTTCAGGTTTTTAGAGCATTTTAAAAAACATTCTGAAATGCTCTTTAGAACACTAGGATTTTAAATATTTGAGAGAAATTTCTGATCATGTTTACTTTATTAAGAAAATACTGAAAAAACATCTTGGCCTTCCATCAGCAAAACTGAAGCATTGACCAGACAATGAGAACTGGCAATTTTTTAAGCTGTAGTGTACTACAAATGAAAGGAGGTTACAAACAACGTGCAAAGTTAAGAAACACCTAAACTGAGCTTTGCATTACAAATTGACTACATTTGCTGTCAGCTTGTCTCAACCCAGCACAGAGGAAGCTGGTGTTCACTCACTGGTCAGCTAATCAAGCCTGTGCACTTATCTGGCCCAGGTAGGGCTCTCAGCAATATTTCTCATGCAAGATTCTGACTCTGGGTTAAATACAGATTTGGTAATTTTCTGATCAGATTGTTTATGGTTCTTCTCATTCCCATTGCTGCTAGCTCATTAACAAATTAACTCTCAGAATGATTCTATAAAGTAAGAATTAATTCCATTTTGTAACTGTGATT